TTGTTCTAAAACACTTGTCAAAGTCAAAACAACCCATGGGTCATCGCTTTTTGAGCCCAAGGACCTGTTTAACCCATGAGCCTGCCTTCAAACCATGAGCCTTCTGTTCTAACCCACATACAACACACCTTGCTAATCCAGAAACGGTTTCTTCAAACCATAACCATGTTCTTTTGCACTTCCTGGCAGTGTTACGGTTGTTATTTTGCAGCGGTAGGCGGTAGGTTTTGTTTGCTGCCGGGCAGGCGCTGCACCCTCCCCCCAAGCCCCCTCCCACGCCATGCAGTTTGCACATGGTATTGACCCGCTTTCACGCGGAACACCTACTCCATGTTTTGGCTGGAGGACACAATTAAACTTACTGCGGTCATGACCTGTGTAAAGATTCGTGACAGGAGTTCAAACAATAGGCTCTTTTGGTGTGGGTGGTGCCAGACAGGCTGCTGGTGGAGGTGTTGCATGCGAAAAGCCATCGACTGGTGTTAGGCCGTTACACTCTTTTTGAATCCGGGTTTAGGATTAAACATATTGATCTCCATATTAGGAACTTCTTGTTGATCCCACGCGAATAACTGTAAGATTCTGATATGTTATTTTAAATCTTTTACCTATTCCCTGGAAACCCAGTCCCAACCAGAAACAATTGGATGTTTCCCCAGTCGCAGCCACTTCCTATGTGGAGGATCTTAAGCAAGATATATTGGAATAACCAGTTGTTTCTGGTTGGGACTGGGTTTCCAGGCCCTCAGCAGGTGCCTTGCAGAAGATGCGGTCTCGCTCACTCCGGGATGTGCTCTCCAAGAGCTTCAGCCACTGGTGCCAGGACAGAGATGTTCGGAACACGTTCACCCAAGGGTCGTGAATTAATGAAAAAATACTAAAGTACTAAAGTACTGTGTAATACTGTATACATATATACATATACGGGTGTCCGGTTCTTCCCACCCATAGCACTGACTGAATATAGCCACTTTCAGAATACCAGTGGCATGATGCACTGAGAGGGCGGTGCACTCGCAACAATTCACTGCATTTACTTGGTATCGATTTATATATTGAACTCCCACTGTGGATTGACCAGGATATTTTCCAGCGGTTTCTCAGGGATGTTGGATTGTGTCCAGAACCAAAGGGTCTCGGGAGCTTGCCCTGAACGGCTCTTGTTCCAAAATGAGGGAATTTGATCAGCAAGTTTCCCACACGACGCAGTTGGCGAAACCCACCGATATTGGCCATGGAGATCAAGGACCCGTTTGGCTTCAAGGACCCGACGCGCACCCCTCGTCCTGACGGGCAGAGAAATTCCGATTCCTCCACATGGGATGTTGGTCCGGTGTGATGGCTTAAGGAGGCCTATGCGCAGAAGCTCCGGCGGAAGACTTTAGAACACGCGGCACCTTGGCACTTGGCAGGTGATTTCTTTTGTATTCACGCAGGTCAAGTAAGGCGTCCTCAAACGAGGGCAACACTTCAAGATACAGTATAGTTTCAGAGTAGATGGCACTGGCACCCCAAGAGGTTTTAGACAGATTGGGGTCCATCTTTCACCAAACTTGGGGTAACTTGTGCCACTCTGAAACCATGATCTTCTTCAACCATGTTTCATCGAAAGGCGGCGTGGTTCCGTTTCTACGTCTTCCATCCAGGTCCGCGTGTCACGTAACCGCCACGGACCTCAGGTCGTGACCTGCGTGCTCTCGCAGACCAGGCGACCGGGCAAAGCGGCCTTGTTTCGGTCACGGGTCACACAGGTTCTGAATTCTGAGTGAGAAACATAAGTAAGCTAGTAAGTGTTTGTTCCTAGGTTTGAAAGATTCTGAAGGTGTTCCGGCGGCTGAGTTTATTGTTTATCACAACCAAAAGCCCCGTGGAGTTGTGTTTTTTGTATTAACGTTTTACCATATCCTAAGTCTTGTCCACAAACTGTAGCAACTGCAAGCGCCTCCCGCGATGACTATCTCCCCCTCTCTCTCTCTCTCCCCCTCCCTCTCTCTCTCTCTCTCCCTCCCTCTCTCTCTCTCTGTTTGTCTCAGAGAGAGAGAGAGACAGAGAGAGAGAGCGCGCGCTCAGGGCGAGAGTTGATGGAAGATCAATGATGAAGGCCTGACTGCCATGAAGCCACATGGATTGTATTATATGCATTCTATATATAGACTTCAGGTTGACATAGGCTCCGTTTCATTCTCACAGTCGGTCCAATACAGAGTACTGTGCTGGTATAAAAAGGATATCCTACCAGGTGGAATGCTTCCTTCAACTGAGTTCTCACAATTTGGATTTGTGCTCACACCTTTTAGGTGCATTTTAGGTGCATCTCAGCACCGAAGATGGGTTGGCACTGGAAGATTAAAAAGACTTCGATGTATTTCGAAGTTGTTTTTCAAAGAACCGGAGCCGATGTGACCAGTGTACCGGTGGGCTTCGTGTGGTCTGGGCAGTGTTCGGAATGCGTTCCAAACGTCTTGCGACGAGGTGCGACCGTTTGGTTCGATGTGTTTTCGATGTGCTTTTGGCCAGATCCAAACCCCAACGACTATCGTTGATTGGGCAAAAAAGAACAGGAAAAACCCGCCGAATTCTGGTTGAAGTGGATAGGAATGGATAGCATCTCAGATTCAAGTTGGATTTGATACTCTCAGTTCCGTCAGGTGGCCTTGCACGGCTGGCAAGAGCTGCTGCCGCGTGGCCGTCGACCGCAGGCGCCGACCGCTCGCCCAGAAGCAGTTCCTTTTCGCGGTGTTCGTTGGGACCGGAGGCATCGAGCAGGGAACCTTCACCGACTTCGCCGGAGCATTTGGTTCGACGCAAATGAAACGACGAAACTCAACTGAAACTCACCAAAAACTCAACATGGACCTTCTGAGTTTCTTGGTGCCTAGAAACTCACCAAGCTGAAAAGGATCCTTAAGCGATGGTGCCCTCATCGGTGTTCCGGAATCAATGCAAGGTCTGCAGGGTTTGCAGGGCGTAAACGTCCGACGTTCACCGAGGGTCTGGGGACCGACTCCGGTGAAAGCACCGCTGGGCCAGGAGATGGAAGCTCGGGCAGCGCCAGGGCACCCAGGGCTCCAGCGTGGCCATGGGCGCCAGGGTCGGGAGGGCGACACGGTGTTGAGTACGACACTCCATGGATCTCCATGGTATGCAATGGAGGGATGATGTGGGATGTGGTAGGGCGCTAGATAAATGATGAGACAATTATATAAGATATTTAGCGCAGAATAGCACAGCGCTATTGAGTCTCGACACAGTCCGTTGAAAGCGCCTTCGACCGCTGCCTCAAAATCACGATTGAGGCCAGCGCGCTGTGAGAAGCTCGAGGTGGGCTGTACAAGATCACAATGAAGTGGTTGGGAGGCAGCAGTTTTCCCTTCAATGATTCATTTGTTTGATCATTTTGAGAAAGACTGCTGATGGAAAAAAAACGATATATTGATATTATCATATAATGGTTATATATATATATGATCTAAACTGAATCTTGGATGCAGACATTAAAGCAAAATTAATGCAACCAGTCAGCCTCGGACGGACGTCCAAGTACTGATGGTGCGAGGCAGAAGCCCAGGCCGCGCACGAAGGAGGCGAACGAACCGGGCGAACGAGGGAACCGTGTCGTGTGGTGGTCGGTATAGTGGTGCTTTGGTGGTCGGTTGTGTTGCTTCAAAAAGGGATCAGTCTTTCTCAAAACGTCGATCAAAACAGAACAAAAACAAAAACAAGCTGCATTTTCTTTACAAGCCACCTATCGGAGAGATTGGTATGCCTGGACTCAGGTTATATGGCTACGCAACAAGAACAAGTGAGAATCACTGTTTTTCAGCACACTTCGCATTTTTACAGTGCCGTCCCATGAGTTGTGAGACAGAGACAGATCCATGCCACTGCTGGCGTCTATTTCAGACACTTTGGGCTCATGCTGCAGTCGCACTTTGACTTGTCAGGTGAGAAAAGGTCAATCTTGGCTGGTCGTTGGTTCCCCTGCTGATGGATGCTGGCACCGACCAAGGACCAGGACGGGGCTGAAGACAGAAATAAGACTCCTGCTTGCATCAGGTCGCAAGGGCAATGATTCAGAAAGATTCCCAGGCGGCGTCCTGCGGCCATGGTACGGGTCATTGTTACGTCGAAAATTTTCCGTCGAGAGACTCAACTTAGTCACGCAAAGAAATTGGTCGAATGTGGAACTGAATTTGTTCTTATTACAAGACAGTCCTTTTTTAGCTCTAGGTACGCTTGTATGTCGCAACATCCAGTCGACTTGATGGGTGACACGATGGCGTAGCCAGGACCCACTTCCAGTCGACTTGAAGTTCAGAAGAAGGAGGACCAATCTATTCATTGGTGAGGGGTCCTCCTTATCGAAACACCGACTCATATGTGAAGTCAACTCTGGCCAAAGAAGCTGGGAGCGACTGCTAGCTGGGGGGGCTCTAACTGGAGTTCCTGCGTGCATCCTGAAAGAATCGTAATCGATGATGTGGGTGTGTAGTTCAATAGGGAGACACTCAACCAATGGTTTTTTTGGGTCTTTGGCGTTTCTCGCACGCGTCGCATGCTATGGACACCCTCAGCTAAGCGTAAGGTGCACATAAATAGATCCTCAGCATCATGCAATCTAAACAAGAAGAAATCACGAACAACCAAATGGATCGTCCACCGGGCTCATCTTCACATGTGGCCTCCAGGCCGCTTTTGAATCGTATGTTGACCACCTTCCTTGATGGAAGTAGTCCCACAAGGCTGTATAGTACAAACCTCACGTCCGTTAGGAACAACGAACTGCCCACTCATGTAAGTGGTACTGTAGCACTAAGGTACCCCAGGCGCCGTAGTCCACCTCGTGCACATTCAAATGAACATGTGTGCAAATGTAAGGACGCCCATTTCATGAACTGCACAAAGATCCTCAACTGACCGTTCAGGTCGGCAGCGCTTGTGTCAGCAGCAATGGAGTGTTCCCGCAAAACATAGGCCGATGGCCTTGATTTGGTCTTTTTCTAGAAAGCACGCACATAAGCCGGAGTCATGGTCCTGGTGGACAGAGCGAAAGCAACGTAAAGCGCAAGCAAACTCGACATCTGCTCGGTCGGAACAACCGCAATGAATCCCACTTGCTGGAACCACCGAAGGAACCTAACAGTGAACTCATAACCGAAAGGAGCATCAGCCCCAATGTTGTCACCCAAATGCTTAAACGGAAAGTTCCAAGCCCTTTGGGAAAAATAATCATCAAAGTTCGGAATGGATTGTGGCATCAGCTTGTGACGATCGGCCGACTTAGCCATAGCTTTGGCAGTGGCCGCCACCCAAAACTTGTGGAAGCCATGCAACTTCTGCACCTGATGATCAGCATCATTGGCAAGCTTTGTCAACTTCGCCAATAACCCCTTATGATCATGTTGTATGACCTGCTTTGCAATATGATCAACGGTGTCATTCCATTTCCCAGCCCACCTGACAAACTCGGAATCGCGGGTTTGCCAGGTAAGTGAGAGTCTACCTTGGTGATATTGATCAAATCGGCAGGACGCTGGAGAATGTGAACCCAAATGCACAATGGCCGCGGGCGACCAAAAACCCTCCTACCTAATTACCAGATACCAAACGGTGAAGGAACCCAGCTGTGTGTCGGTCAACTTGCCGAAAAACGCTATGTGGACAACCAAGGGTTGGCACCAGAACGATAACGCCCCAGGCATTGACACCATGGATGTACGCAAGGTCCGCTACTCTGCATCCGTGCGATTGACAAGTGCGCCGTGTGCAATAACCCCTACAACAATGGTATTTGTCATCATCTTCTTAAACTGTTTGGGCAGCATCTTCCGGTGTGTCCGGTCGAGGGCCCGTTTCGTCTTTTGCAGCCTGAAACGGCTCTTGGTTTTAACTTTGGCCTTACCATATGCCACATCACAAGTCAGTAGCGCGGTGGTTGACTGAAACTTTGCGACTGTAGATATTCACATCTTGGATCTTGCTGCGACCTCTGGAGGTGTTGGACCATACCCACCTCTTCTCAGGACTAATGGCCATCTTTAGGAAATCAGTGAAGGTTTCCAAACGCTTGGTGGCCGCCCGAAGAGTGTCTGCAGTGTTGCAAATGATACCCCAATTATCAGCACAGAAGTTGGGTTCGACCTCTGGATGATGAAATGTCAAGTACGACGATGCCCAAACACTCAACATCAGCATGGCCGCCACACTCAATGCACAGCCTTCAGGAAACCCACACGTGGATCGAATGGGGTGCCCGATCTGATGCGACAACTCCGCGTATCTGGCCACATCATCGAGCATACCCTCACGAGCACGCAAGTAGGAGACCGGAATCCCCATTAATAAGAATGCCACCAACAGTGGGATCCTGGGGATCCTGTTGAAACACTTGACCAGGTCGACGACCAAACCAAACACTTCGTTCCCTTCTTCTGTCGCCTCTTCGACCACAATCAGGGTGCGAGCAATGACCATATCGGCACTGAGTCCAGATGCCGCACCAGCAACGCTACTATGAACCACTGACACCAACTGATTAATGACTTCCTCAGAGCGAAGCTTGGCCCAACATCATCCAACATCTATATAACCTGCTCAAAATGGTGATCGGCCTGCAATCTAGTGGTGTAAGTAGCAGGTTTGTCACCTTTGGACAGCATCACAACCTTGGCAGATGTCAACCGTGCAGGCCATTGCCCTGTATCCTCAATGGTGTCAAACAGGCGGAACAACCAAGATGTCAAATCACTAGGAATACACTTGAGCTCGGCAGGCGTGAAGGCATCAGCACCACGAGCGCTACGCTTGGGAGTCCGCTTCAACATCTTATCCCACCTTTCTTCAGTGAACTTTGTCGGATCAAAGGCCTGAACGTCAGGAAGGTATTCCAGTGACTGCAAAGCTGTCTGCCAATTTTCACGATTATCATCCTGGGGCTCACGGTTCCACAAATCACCCCAAGAATCAGAAATCATGTCTTGCATCTGGCTGTTCTGAGCCGTCAACACACGCTGCACTGCAACCAAAGGTAAATCAGCTTTGCAAACAACAGGTGTCTGGAGAAAAAGTTCGCAACCTTCACGTCTTGTGATCAAAGCTTGTTGCCCATCAAAGGAAATTGGTAGGTTGTCATCGAATTTGTCAGGAACAACCTCAAGAATGATGGTTGAATTACCACTTTTGCTCCACCTTTGCCTCGTCACTGGAATTTGCAATTGAAAGGCAACAAACTCAACAGGGCGCATCAGGGGGCACTGCCAAGTCTTTGACTGTCTGAAAGGCCTGGCTTCCACCCCGAGCAATATCAGCCAACAACTTAACCCGCCGGGTCTTGTATCTTGCCGCGTTGTCTTCTTTAGTTTTGTGATCAATGACAACTCGGAGTGCGGAGGCAATCGCAATCTCCTTGGCAATCTGGTCATTTGGACACGACCACGGAACAAACAAATGAAGGGCATCAAATGCCCACCAGCAGAAACCACCCGGAAAGCCTTTGGCCTCATGAAAGGCCTTCCAAAGGTCTTCAAGCTGCATCCATGCTCGGTCGGTAGGTCGAATCAACCAAGCCCGGTACTGGGCTTGAAAACTGGTCCAACGTCGCCACTGCTTGATCCAACGTCATCACTGTCTGTTACAAGGTTGTGAGATGGGAAACTCCCCAAAGTCTCGGAGCAGGTTTGCGCAAGACGTCGGTAGATGGTGCCTTGCGACACGTCGCCTCGGTAAATGGATCATTTCACCTTCTCCCAACTTTTAATACACGAGTTGTGCAGTCTTTTCCAAGTATGTCATCAGACTCGTACACTGGCAACACAGCTGCAGGAAAGGAACAAGAAGGTTGAGCAGACATGTAGAAATGAATCGACATACATGCGCAGTTCATGTAAGTGATATCTGAGTGCATGTCGCATGCAGACATGCGTACCTGTTTGGTGCATCGCATTTCTTGGTTTTCGGACCTCCATCGAAAGACGGCCACTGTTTTCAGGAAGATATTTTTTCAAGTGACAAGGTGAAGCAATTTCCAGTCTATCATGCATATCGTAAAGTTTATTGCAGTGTATTTAACTTTGGATGTATTTTGTATTTTGTTACACTGGAAATCACTGGAACATCTTGGAACCTATCTATTTGGGCGATCAAAAATAGCATGCGACAGCACGATGGTTCGCCGACAGATTCGTTCTTGACCGTGAGTGAGCTGAAATCGAGGTTCTAGGCTTTCGGAACAGACTATCAAGTGGCCGAGCGTCAGTATTGCGCTAACAGACTGAAGACCCTGAAAAAGTGATCCTAAATAGATAGCAATAAAAGTAACCCCCCAAAAAAAATCATTGGAAACCGTTTCTATTTTTTCGGGGCCCACTATATGGATTCACAATGGATTCACACGGGATTTTCTTCTTAGAATTTGACAGGTGTTTTCTTATTAAGCACTATCTTGGGGCTGCTGACTTTGACGATCAATAGATGATATGGGTTGTTCGGAATGTGTTGCTTGCAACTCATTGTCAGTTGTGAACTTTTTCTTCCAAATATATCATCAAACTCTCATACCGGCACAGTTGCGGCAAGCAAACAGAAGGCTCAGTGGACGCATAGAGCCTCCACATATAGACATGTATTTACATACTCTTTTGATCTCTTTTGGATACAGCACCGTTGGCTCAAACACTCAATTGTGAGGTTCGATGTTTTAAGTTTGAAAGAACCGACGGAAAGCCGTTCTCGATACAAATGAAAGACATCGAAACAGTTTCGTTCGTGTATTGCACCGTTTGCAACGACATTCTTTGCTCATTGGGGTGCGATGATATAGTCTTGACTGCCCAAATCCTAAGGATGACATTAGCTTGACGGGGCAGGAAGTCTTCATAACGGGGCAACTGCCTGAGAGCAATGATGACAAACTGTTGATGTCTTAGTCTTGCTCCGACATGAATTGAGCACATGTTTTCATGCCACTGGCTGGTCGATTGATTCGCATGACATTCTTCCATTCTTCCCATGCCTTTGACAGACTCAGAGTATTCGCTTGACAGAATAACACAAGGGCCTCAGTGCTCTGAGCTTTTCACTAAAATGACCTGAAGACAACAGGAGTAACTTGGCCGAGTACTTGAAGCCGATGCTCCACATCCCCGGGAGAACAGGAGTAGCTTGCCCAAGGCCGTAGCCGAACTGAAAGTGCACAAAGGTTGTCACAAAGTGGCTGACCGAAGCAGAGGCTGACCAGCTTTGATGCCGTTTTTGCTGTGACCAGAAGTCTTTCACCCCAACGTCCCACCCATCGTACTTGTCATACGCCTGGACGCTGACCCAAAAATGGATGTGGGTCAAATTTTTCTTTATAGCTTTGGTTGACGCTCGAAAATGCACAGATTGCTCTTTAAGGGGTATCAACCTTTGGTTTCTATACGGTACTGCACTGTATCAACCCAGAAACATGAGCGTCCAACCATGTTCGAACCGAACCATCCTTCGCTGCGGATGTGTCTGTGTCAAACAACTACGTCTTTCGTGAGTAGAGCGAAGAGTCAGCGACTGAGTCAGCGACTGGGCTGAAGAACGGACTACGCACTTCTTTTTGAGCGTTAGAGCATCAGTCCCACCCCTAGCTAGATGTACAAAGCTTGCGCCTGCTATCCAGAATAGGGGGTGAAAGCAATTTGAGGATGCACTTAGCTACAGCAACACATTTTGGCTGTAGCTCCCACAGTATTGCCTACCTCTGGGAGGGCCAATGAAAGCACCTCAAGCCTTGAAGAAAACAATAGTGAGATGAGAGGTGTGCTTTCACTTCACCAGGAGCCTGTTTTCCACTCGAATGCATCAGGTTGATATATAAGTATAAGTGCTCACTAATCTGTCCATGAATTCGTAACTTCACTGAGGACTTTGGGCAGCCAGCCCACTTAGCAAGGTCCCCTAAACCCTAAACCCTTGGCCGGCTTCCACTCAGTGCAAGTCACTGGCCCAGCTTCCGCAGGGTCCATCAACTCGTTGACCGGAAAACATATATTTCCATCTTTGGTTTAAACCTTGGTTTGCTGCCTGTGTTTGTAGGTTTGGATCGGCCTACTTGGGGTCATGTTCGTCGACCCTGTTTGGTTTTGCTTCCTGCTGGACCACGAAACAGTGTATGAATGAATGGACACCACGATCGTCAGAATCAAGAGGCTGACCAAGCTGAAAAGCGGAATTAATCTGAGACCACTCGATTTCGCGCAGCAACATGCTGCGCGAAATCGAGCGGCTCAATCAGATATATCCATGTTGGGAGCAAATATGATGTTCTCCACACGGCGGGGGCTTGCTTGCGTTTGACTACCTTGTAGAGTCAACATGGGTGTTTGCAAACTGCCCATGGCTGCCTGATGCATTTGCCATCTTGACAGGGAGGGCCAGACAGGCCAATCCAAGCCACAGTAACCTAGCTTTGGGCTGCATTTCGCGCT